AGGAGTGGAGGAGGGAGGGGGAAGGGGGTCTCTTCCCTCTGTGTCCCCAGCTCCCAGCTGCCGCTATCATCACTCGTTAAGCCTTTGCTTAAAGACCATACTAAGCAAGCGCTTTTAGAAAATAATTTGTACGTTACATCCCTGTGACTAACAGGGCACCTCGCCAATAATATTGCATTAACTTGGTGTGGTGCCAGGGGGGCACTGACATGCTGGGGGACCACTTTGTAAAGTATGTGACTGTCCACCTCTATTCTGTACACCTGAAAGCAACACAAAATCACACGGAATGCAAACTGGAACTGAAAAATAAAAATCATAATATATAAAAACCCTGGGTCCATCACAACCGGAGGCTCGACCAACCAGAAGTCAGTCCTGCAGTCAGCCTGGGTTGCCATAGCGACCCAGCACTGACTGCTGAGGGGGCTGCGAATCACCCTGGAGAGAGGCCTGAAGAGAGAAGCAGGGTCTGATCTGTAGCCTGTGTGGCAGCTGTTGATCAGCACTTGCCTCTCTCTTTCTCCTCTGACAGGGTCAGCAGCTGGCCCTCCATTTCTCTCAAGTCCTCCTCCAGGGCTGCTGATCTGCCCCCCCTCTCTATTTTTAAAAAATATATTTTATTGATTTTTTACAGAGAGGAAGGGAGAAGGAAAGAGAGTTAGAAACATCAATGAGAGAGAAACATCGACCAGCTGCCTCCTGCACCCCCCTACTGGGGATTGTGCCCGCAACCAAGGTACATGCCCTTGACCAGAATCGAACCTGGGACCCTTGAGTCCACAGGCCGAAGCTTTATCCACTGAGCCAAACCGGTTAGGGCCAGAACCCCCTTTCTGATCAGGCCCCATTGATAGGCCCAGAGACACTGACTGCATAGAAACCGACCAATCAGAACCAAATCTAGGTGAACTGTGAGGAGCCAATGGCTGCCAGGATGCAGAGCTTTTGACGCTGACTGGCTCTTCCCCTCGCCTCTGCCCTCACCAGAAGCCAGGAACACCAGCAGGACAAGGGCTAGCCCCCAACTGTTCTCCCCTGCCGGCCTGATCTTGCCCCCAACTATTTAACCCTTGACCCACTAGCCAGTAATAGCACACACCTCCCCCAGGTACCCATTGTACCTGTAGGGGAGGGCAGTTGGGGGTGACATCAGGCCGGCAGGGGAGGGCAGTTAGGGGCAATCAGGCAGGCAGGCAGAGATAGAAATCGACCAATTAGAACCAAATTGGCCAGCAGAGGAGGGCAGTTGGGGGCCAGATCAGGCCTGCAGGAGAGGGCAGTTAGGGGTGATCAGACAGGTAGGCAGAGGCAGTTAAGGGCAATCAAGCAGGTAGGCAGAGAGGTTAGGGGCAATCTGGCAGGCAGGCAGAGGGGTTAGGGGCAATCAGGCAGGCAGGCAAGTGAGTGGTTAGGAGCCAGCGATCCCAGATTGCAAGAGAGATGTCCAACTGCCAGTTTAGGAACCGGGCTAAAGTGGAAGTCAGATATCCCCAAAAGGGTCCCTGATTCGAAAGAGTGCAGAGTGGGCTGAGGGAACCCCCTCCTCCCTGCACAAATTTCATACACCGGGCCACTAGTTAAAATATAAAAGAAAAGAATCTATCATTAGAGGAGCAACAGGAAAACAATGTTCACGGCTGCTTATAGTCACTAGACAGACAACCAAGTCAGAGAGCCCTGCACACACGTAGTGTGGCCTGTGGGGCTGGCAGGGGCAGACTCTGGAGGCAGAGACTGGTGGGGGGTGGGCGGAGCACAGTGCTGGGACCAGGCTGGGAGGCAAGGGTGGGAGCAGCCTTTAGCCACCAGGAAGCTCTGGCTAACCTCTGAGGACAGGCTGCCCCTCCAGACCTTAGTCCCTGCTTCCCATGCAGGAGCGTGGGCTGCCCTGGGAGGGGTCACCTGGGGAGGGCCTCCCACCCTCCCTGCTCCCAGCACTGGGGAGAGTCCATCAGCCCTGCAGGAGGGGGGCGGGGTGGCTAACCGCCCACCAACTGCCTGACCCAGAGTGAAGCCATGGTGTGCAGCAGTTGTAAGAGCTGGGAGCCTCGAGCTTGCCCGCCGGCTCCTCAGTTCAATCATCGGAATGTGCCAGGGGTGCCGGGGCTTCCTTGTCCATCCTTCCCCTGGCCACCACAGGTCACCCCCGCAGGGTATCCCGTCTCAGCCCCTTGCTCAGGAAGCTCCGTTCTCACCCCCTGAGGCAGCCGCAGCCTTGGGCTGCCTGACACCCGCCCCTGCCTGCACCCCTGCCCTGGATCTGCTGGGACCTGGTCCCCTGGAGCTCAGGGACAAGGGTGGGAGAGGGAGACGGAAGTGAGATGCTGGAACCTGGGGGAGGATGGCCCAGAGGCCTGGAGCTCCAGCGAGGCCACCAGGCTCCTGGCACTGGGGACCCAGGGCCGGGTTGAATCTCCTCTAGGTGCTGGGTCCTTCCTTGCCACGGGGTGGTGTGGGAGCAGGCTCTATGGATGGGCAGTGTGTGTGGGTCTGCCCGGCCCAGGAGCCCTTGATCCTAGGCAAGCAGGGACGGTGGCCACCCTGCCTGACACTAGGGCACACCCTGACCTCCGCCTGGATCCTGCACCCGCCACCTGGGGACCATGTCCCACTCCGCCCTCCCTTTCCCCTTACAATCCAGGACAAAACAGAGAAATGGGGTCCAGCAGTCTTTGAAAACATAGAATATGACACACAGTATTATAACTTGAAAAGAACTTGAAGACCAGCAACCACAACACACGTGCTCAGTTGCATAAAGTTCGTGTTCTTTCGTTTTATTCTGAAAAGTCTTGAGGTAGGAATGAGTGTCCCCTTCACAGGAGAGGAAAACTGAGGCCCGTGAGGGTTAGTGAGTTGCACAGGGTCACACGGGACAGGTGGCAGCCCTGGTCCCTGGTCCCGGTCCTGAGCCCTGTGCAGTGCTCTCCACGGGACAGCCTGCCCTCCAAGGAGACAGGGCAGTCTGGCTGCTGTCAGACTCCATGGAGGGGAGCTGCTGGGGACCCGTTTTCCCCAGGGGAGTTCAACTCCCTTCAAGTTGCATAGCAGGGGGTAGCCACACCTTCCTGGTGGGGAGGACAAATGTCAGTGTGTGTGTGTGTGTGTGTGTGTGTGTGTGTGTGTGTGTGAGCACCAGGCCAGCCAGTTCAAGTTGAGAGTCTCCTCTGGCGCCCTCTCCTGGACACAGGGAAGAGGTGCCTCCTCCCGATGGTCCCATAGGATTACCCCAGTCCCCCTTCTCTCCCCATATCCATCTTGGAGTGGCCCCACTGAGGCCCTGGCTCTGTCGGTCTCCTGACCATGACCTTTGCTCTCCCGCGTGGGAGGTCCCTGTCCCAGGGCCGAGTAGAGATGCCATATCTAGACCCACGTGTTCTCCAGTCTGTCCAGGCTGCAGACCCCTCTTTTGGGGACAAATGCTGCCCGATTCTCCAGCCTTCCCTGCAGGAGGGGCCAGGTCAGAGACAAGAGCCTTTGAGGCAGGCAGACATGGCAGGCCACCAGGCCAGGCTCCTGGGCTCATCTGCCCCATTGGTCCTGCCAACCCCCACCCCAGTAGCCAGTCCTGGTCTGTGGGAGCCCTGATCTGTCTCCCTGTGACACAGTGGCACCTCTCTCCCCAGGGGAGGACACCCTGGGAGGGGGGCTGTAGGGGGTGGCAATCGCCCCTCACTGAGCTGTGCCCCCCTTCAGGGGACTCTGAAGGGCCTTCAGTTCCCTCCAAGAGCTCAGACCTGGAGCCCAGGAGGGATTGGGGAGACATCCTGAGTTCAGCTTCTGCACCCCAGTCTGGGGTCAGGCTGTTCCTGCTGCTGAGGGGGGCTCTCAGCTGCCCATCACACCTGTCCCAGGAGGGACTGGCCAGCAGGTGGCAGCAGTGAGAGGGTGGGCTCTGCTGGCTCCCAGGACATGAGGAACCAACAGCCTGGCCAGGGCACATGGGAGGACAGTCAGAGGGTACGTGGCCAAAGGGCCATGCTGGACAGCTCTGGGGCCCCTGCTGCCGATCCCTTGGGACCCCCAGCACTTAGTCACTTTCTCCTCCTCCTCCATGGCGGCAGCTGGGACCTGCTGCCTCTGGGACTTTCTTCCCCACTTTCATGGGGAAGATTGAGGGGAGCAGAGGGCAGCTGAGGACACAGGGTCCTGGTGGGGAGAGGGCAGCTGTCCACCCCACACCACTCCCCTCAGCTGGACGGCTGAGCATTTAGCCTTCTTAAGAATACACATGAAAAGTTCTTATATGGAGTAAAGAAATGTTGACATGAACTGCATGGGGAGACTCACCAGTGTGGGGTTTTCGTCCCTCCCACAATAGAGGAAGAAAGACAGAATGTGTATGTCTACCAATTACCTATGATTTGCGGAATTCTTTATAATAAAACCCTAATATGCACATCAACCGAACGGTGGAACGACCAGCAGAATGACTGGTTGCTATGATGGGCACTGCCCTGAGAGGGAGGTGACCTGTGGCAGCAATCAGGGTTCGGGGCTGGCCAGCGGGAGGCAGCGGGCCACCCCGCACCCCCCCATCAACCCACTCACAGGTCACCCCACAGATGGCCCTGATTGCTGACCAGGCCTAGAGAATCTACCCTATATATTGGGAACAGTCTCTTAGATTTAAAACTTAAAACCTGGCAAAGCTACTCTAACACTGAAGAAACAGGATGAAGCAGTGATGACATGCATGGACCCTGGCTTGCACATTTTGTGGTCAGCCCTGATTCGGACACTTATAACTGTGTGACAAAGCCAATTACTTAACTTCTCTCTGCTCCAGTTTTCCACCCATAAGATGGGGAAAATG